AATTAAAGTTGATACATACTCATCTCTTAGAATTAAACTACTCTATAATTTAATTTGTTTGAATTTAGACTTTCATATAAGATCCAGGTTCGAGGTAACACATCATATGTGAAGCTTATGGCATACATTGAGCTTACGAACTGTACCTCGTGACAGAATAAATACCAGCACATGCCTGTTCAAGAAAAAATAAACAACATACCAAGCACATTCCTGACCCATCCCGTGATGGGATCCAATAAGAGAGTTAGGATTGTACGGGCAACCCATGCCATGCCATGCCCCAAAGTACTCCTAGTGGGGAGCTCTAGTCACATGTCGTGTAGGGTTCGCTTCAGCCCATACCCTCTTTTCGGATCTTGTGCGCTGCCGGCCATTTTTTTTTTTTTTTGGTTTCTCGCTCGGTATCCGAGACTTCGTCTCGACTAATCCGGATCCGACCCGCGTCGCGCACTTGGAAATGGTGAGTGAATCTCCCAGCGAGGACTACTGCATATACAAAGACTCGAACTCAAAAACTTACTTAAACTGAAACAAACCGCTTACCACTTGATCCAACCCCTCGTTGATCGCTACCAGCTTATATATATATCCATCACCAGTTTATCCACCCATGCTTTTGGCTGTATGCATGTCTAGTATCTATCCTTTCCACCTGACCCCATCCCTTTGGATTGTAGAACATGAATCCAACCCATTCTTACACTGTAATAACTAACGTGCACATGCACCCATTTTCATTCTATCTTCAGCGGCCGCCATTCTTAATTTCCTCTAGATGAAGGAACTTGATAAATTGGTAACTTTGCTCGATTAGAGAGAACATGGGCTAGCCAGCTGAAAGGGTTTATGTATGCTATATATCTGAATTTCCGAGAACAAGAGGAAGGATATGTGCACACGCGCGCACGGATAAATTTCATTGAATTTAGAAGCTAATCCAAGATCACAAATCACAACCAAATTAAAATATGCAGAGAATTAACCATTAATTAATTCTTCCTCTTACGGTTCGGGCATAATTTAACAACAATTAACAAGCTTGTCATTTTAATTAACACTACTAGCTAGTACAGTTGAAAAACGAATTGAAGGTGCGCGCAATTAATTAATGTTACTTGAAACTGAACCATTTACCTGCATTGCATTGCATGCATCTTATTTGTGCTTTTGATCAGATCAGTAATTCAGTTTTATGTTTTTGATATAATAGTCCATCATCACAGCAAACACCAAAAAGAGTGTTCAATTGCACTTTCCATTCCTACAGGTACGTAAAAATACATATCAGTATTGAACAAGTAGTCCAGCAAAGGTAGCTTTGGAGGCAAACCCTGTTATGAAAAGCATATAAGAGTTATGCAAACACAAGTGGGAGCGGCGTCCCATCTTTTTCTTTGCCTTGTTAAAAAACCGCCTGCCACGGCTGCAGCGCCTGGTCCGTGGGGGGATTGGAATTTCCTCCAGCGCCATCATCTCTGCCGGTTCTTCCTTGATGGTTGCCAGCTTAGCCTTAAGTATCTCCTCAATATCCTGCCTGGATTCTGTCCTCACACATGCCCGATTAGTGCAAGGCACCGCCCTCCACATTTTTCGACATGCCCTCCTCATTGATTTCTATCTGATCGACTGTTGTTAGTTTCCTGACCTGACAATCATATATGCAAGACTTCTCCTCCCTAGCTAGTTATATATATGCCATATATATATATATATATATCCATCCTTAAGGAACTTAACAAAATTATTTTAAGTGAGGAAGAAATAAGAATGATGGGTTAGGTTATGTGGCTAGGTTGGAAAGGTAACTTTCATTTAAGAGAGACTCCTTTACAGCAAGACGCAATTAGTCTAATTGCCCCTATTAATTTGTTCAATAAGATAGCTTTTTCTACCAAGTACCAAGGTACTCTCAAGTCCAACTGGATCCCCATATATATTCCCTAAAAGGCAACTTCTGTGTTTATATATAATTCAATCTAATTGCTTTCCAACTGCAACCTACATATATAATGAAGAATGCCCCAGATCGATTTAATATAAATTAAATGCTAAATCAATTATTCCACTTATTCCAAATCCTTTTAAGACGGTTCCATTAATTATGCCAAAGGCTCAATCTATATACTACTCCTAGGAATCTCAACTTCAGGAACCAGAACAAATTACAGGATGAAGAGATTGAAGATCAATTAATATCACAGCTAAAAATGAAACAATTAATCCATCCATGCGTCTTCAATCGATCTACAATATCATCAGCATATATATACACCTTTCGCTATCCTGCCTGCCAAAACTACCATATGAACGAGCCTTCAAAATGAGTGTTCTGGAACAAGCTAGCTAGATAGCCGAACACGCTTCATTTTCTTCACCCTACGCTTCCTTGGCTTTGCAACCTTTCTGTCATCACCATGCTTTAGCTTCTCATAGCGCGATCTAGGCATGACGATTCCTATATATAATTAGAAGTGGAAATGAATGGAAAAATATTGGACTGCAATGTTGTGTATGAATACAACATATATATATATATATATATATATATATTAGGATCTTTAATTTGATAAGCTTGGACAGGAGGATTTGCCTGCGTTTCATGTACTGGTTAAACAACACACATGGCTTACACCTTAGTATACTCCGCATGCAACCGCGGATCCTGCTTTTGGCACATGGCTAACATCACCACAGTTAGGCAGCGATTCATTTGCTGTGATTTGTTAATGATGGATACGTAATATACATGGGAGGCATGTGCAATGCAATGACAAGTGGGCTGGCAGGCAGGCAGGCATACGTGTTAATTAATGTTAGGATATACGCAAATACAGCTTTTAACTACTTACCAGAAAAGCTGATGATCTATTTGCTTCTTTTATCTTTATGACAGATTAATTAGTTCATATATAACATCCCACTTAAATGACAAAGGACAATCAATCAAGCCTTTAGAACAAAAGATTGGTGGCATAAATTGAATACAGTGGGATGAATCTTTCTATGTTTTGTCTAGATGTAGCTGGTCTTCATTAATTAGATGTACAAATAGGCACCCTAATATATTATAAATGCGATGGGAGACAGGCGTTATCTTTTTTGCACAAACTACAATCGGTGGTTCGGCAATATTATGGTCCTCTATGTGAAGCTGAGATTATAGTTTGGGGAAAAAAAATTTAGAAGTTGCTGTCGTATGAGCAGGTTTTGAGGCGAAAGGAAGGATGGTATGACGGTGCATCTTTTGGACACAAATTTTATTTTAGGTTAAAACCCCATTTTGATCCCTGAATTATTGTATAGACCTCCAATTTGGTCCCTAAGCTAAAAAAAATCTTGATTTGATTTCTACTGTTTATCATTTTGACCCCAATTTGGTCCTTCCATTAAAAATCTCATTATGGTGTACTGTTAATTCACTGTTATGAGATGATGTGGCAAAAAAATAATAATATAAAAGTAATAAAACTTAAAAAATTCTCTTTTTTTTTTTTCTTTTTCCTTCTCTTTCTCTTTCAGGCCTTTCTCTTTCTCTATCAAGCCTTTCTCTTTACCCTTCCCCTTTAGAACCCATTGAACCCAGTAGTCGCCGTTGAGTTCGTTCGAACTTAGACGTTGGGTTCGTTAGAACCTAGGTGTGGGTTCGTTTGAACCTAGGTGCTGGGTTCGTTCGAACCCAGGCATGAGGTTCCTTGGAACCCTGGCGTTGGGTTCGTTCGAACCCTGGCACGTGGTTCCTTAGAACCCTGGTGTTGGGTTCATTCGAACCCAGTGCTAGGTTCAAAAAAAATTTTTGTTTCTTTTTTTGTGGATTTTGTTGTTTGATGATGAAAAAGAATTGATTGATGAAGAATGGAATTCCATTTCATTGAACTAATTGTTTGATTCAGAAAAACAGTGATAAAAGTTGTCTCGAAAGAGGCAAAGAGAGGGAAAAAGAAGGATGAATGAGAAGATTCGAGAAAGAGGATGTTGGAGGAAGAAAATGAGGGTAAATTTGTAATTTTTGTGGGTTACATGGCATTAATATAACTTGTTATGTTGCCATGTCACCATTTTGATCTGATGTGTCTAAAATTTTTGCCATGTCATTAACTCACTATGAGTTAACGTTGGATATTTAATAGAATGACTAAATTGGGGTCAAAATGGTAAATAGTAGAAACCAAATTAAGAATTTTTTTAGTTTAGGGACCAAATTAGGGTCCATATAATAGTTAAGGGACCGAAATGGGATTTTAACCTTTATTTTATAGTTAGCTCTAGCTGGGAAAGAAAGCATGTAGCTGGTTGAAAACTAACTTGTGTGTTCTGGGTAGGATCAAGATAATGAAGAATGAAAGTGGTTCCGTAATCCGTAGAGGGTGCAGTGGAGGGACCAAGGGAGAGACATGAGCAGTCTAATGTTCTGCGAGAGCAGCTCTTTTGTCATTTGGAATCTTCGGGTTAAATATGTTAAGGGTATCGTTTGTTGGATTCCAAATTTATAGCGATGGTAACTGATTATGGCCCAACCCATTTAATTTAGTACTTTTAAACTCGCTTTAGTTATTTAATGTAAAGGTATCACATAATGATAATTATTAAATGAGAATTAAATTTTTAAATCTTGATATCAGTGGCCTCTCATATTTTTTTTTATTTAATAGTTTAATATAATTTAAATTATGAAAGATAATCTTGTGAAAATTTGAAGAGAACAACCTTTTTATAAAAAGCAAAGTCAACGGAATTTTTTTTCACAAAACAAGCCAGCCGAATTGATCATTGACACTTGACAGTGAATGCATCTTCTTCGATTGAAAATAAAATATCTTTAACTTAAATCACATATGTGAATAAAATTATTAGATACGAGACCCGATATAGTTGACTTTTATTGTCAATCAAAAAAATTTTGATCGTTGACAGGTTTATGCTTATACCACCAAACTTATAACTTTACCTTCCACTCCATGTGCTCAACAATCTATTTATTTATTTATTCCATTTGCATATATATGATAATATCTTGGTTATTTTTTACAACTAAATTGGGCTTCAGAGTTCCAAACCCTCAACAAGTTGGTATCATTCAACAAAATGAAATTCAAATGTTAAAAAATAATAGTACTTGATAAATATCTTTGTTATATTAAAGAAATTAAGCACATACTTGTGTTAATCTTAATCAAAACCCCAAGTCTGAGGAAGTTTTGTATATCCTAATCCCTAGTATGGGTAAAGGAAATTACTTATAATACAGCACGGTGCATAACAGAGACAGGCTAAAATCTAAAAATACAACTCCAATTAAAAAAACGAATCCTACCAGAAGCAGGAGGACATTCGATTTTGGCGGTGGTGGTAGTTGTTGACGAGGCGGACGAATCTTCTCCGGCGGTAGTAAAACGCAAATCTGAGCCTTGACCACACCAACCTCCTCAGTTTACGTGCCGATCGGAGCCTGAACCAGATCACCTTCTTCACCCCAACCAACGATCCCTTAATCCTTTCAGCAAGGCTCCTCTTTCTGCAGAACTGGTAGCTCCTCAAGAACAACTGCCTCTTCTCCATCATCGTGTAGTCGTGCTCCCATGAAACTGAAAATGATTCGCTCCTACATATTGGCTGATTCCGATTTTGGCCAAGAACAAGAGCCATCTTCTCCGACCACAAAAAAAAAAAAAGAAAGGAACAAGATTTTGGTCAAAACTCAAAAGGGGTGCATTAATAGTTTAATAGTTAGTCCCACTCATCCCCTTCCCATCTGTCAAAGGACTTGCTTGGGTTGGATGTGTAAAGAGAAAGCGATCAGTCCGCCGCCGCCTCAGGCTTTAGGGAGGGGTAAGAAGAAGACCAGACGCCAGAGTGTCTCTTACTTTGGCTTTTTAACACCCTAGACATATATATAGGATTTTTTTTATACTGTATCTTTAGGTAATAATGATATAATAAATATATTTTTTATAATTAATTTTTATTAAATAATTAATTC